TTAAGGGGTGGAGATGGGTTGGGCCTTTAGCAGCGTCATTAAAAATATGTTGGCCTGGATTTTTGGACGGTGGTATAGATTAAGGAACTAATTCAGGTCTTTAAATATTTGATAAACATCAGTTCATCTTTTAGAATAGGAGGTCTTATCCAATGTTGAATAATCAAAATGTTTTACTCTGATCATGTTAGGTGAGAGAAGATTGGCACTTAATAATTGTAACTCCCTTCTCTATCAGCCTCTGCAGGCTAGTTGCTTTAGGGAGGATAACTTTTTATCTTCACAACTTGGCTCTAGACCTAGTTCGTGGAAAAATATTGTTGTTATGAGAGTTTTTAATTGATGGCCTTAGGCGAAAGAGTTAACAATGGTCATAGTGTTCAAATTCTATTAGATAAGTGAGTTCCTTTAGAATTAAGATAGTATATTTAGAATTCTCACATTCATGATTTTTTTTTTATGCAAGTGTCAGACTTTTACATGATAATAGTATTTTTAATTTTTTGGAAGGTGAACAATTTTTAAACATCCCATTGAGTAAAAGACTTTTACATGATAAAATCATCTTAAGTTCATTTAAAATATGGTAATTGTTAAGTGAAGTTAGGTTAAATGAAAGATATTATGGTATACTCTTGTTTGTTCATGTGTCAAACATTTAGTTTGGTGCTTATGTAAGAATATCCTACTAGTAATGATCAGGTTGGAATAAAAAGAGATATTTGTTGATAATCGTGCATAGTTGTTTACTCCAAAATATTGAGAACTTATTCAAGAAATGTGAGTATTTTAAGAAATTTAGCAAATTAGTTTAATTTACGGTACCTTTTTTCATTCTCTCCTTCTTTATGAATGGATCGAAATTGGTTTATCTTATTCGTCTTTAGATTTTTTAGAGTTTGATGGACGAAAAATTTATGATTGTATAAAAAAATATTGATGAATTCTTATATGTTGATTAACAAACTCTATGACATGTTTTTTCATATAATTACCAATGATGAAAAATGGGGATTCTCCTTTAGTTATGCCTACTTACACTATTTATAGGTGGTCTCCTCCATGTCATGCTTGAATTGTAACAAAAGAAAGAAGAGACTTTGAGTTATTTGTATTATGAATTGATCTTTGCTGGAAGAAACATATTTGTAATTTAAGAAATATAAATATTGTTGAAAATTTAATATTGTTATGTGGTTTAAAGTTTTCAATTCATTAGGGATTGTGTCATGTTGTGGTAGAAGACGACTCTTAAGTTGTCATAAAGGTCCTTCCTACACCAAATGTTTACTATATATATTGAGTAGGATTGTTTGCGTATGATATTTTTGTTTATAATTTTTTTTCTTCATTTATTTTTATATTTCGTGAATTTCTAAATTTTAGAATCAGATAATTCAGAAGTTAGCGAAAAAAAAGTCCAACAATTACCTCACAGTGAACTTATTATTTTGAAGTATTATTTTCTTTGATTCCCTGCTTTTGTGGGATTTGTTTTTGTAATTCTATGTGGATATCAGCTTCCTTAAAAAAGAAAAAATTAATGTTGAAGGGTCAAGTTTTAATTATTACTCTATGTAAGTTCTTTTTATATAAAAATGTCTCCTCCTTTGTATTGTCATCTATTTTCAAAACTTATTTAGAAAAAAATTCAACATATATTAATTATTGTGCATCACTATTCAATTGAATTTGTTTTTAGATAATTGCATGAAAATTTTTCTTACATGACATTAGCCTTGTTGAAAGGCTTTCATCTTGATTATCTTTAAAAATAATATTACACATTTCACGAAAGTAAAAAACAAACCATCAATTTATGGTTGTATAAAATAATTATGAAATTCAAATAATTTCAACAATTATGTTGTCGTTTATTTCTTTTATATTTCCAAGCTTAAACTTATCACGTATTATATTATGAATAACTTATGTTTTGGTTCATCTCATAGCTTACTTACTTGACTAGGCCCACCATAAAGCAATTGTTGCATATTGCAATGAGCTCGTGTAAGGTAACAAAGTTTATTATCTGTCCTAACGTGAGGAAGAGAGTAAAGGGACGACCTTTCCAATGGCCCAGAGGCTAAAACAACTACCCTATTGGAATAGAAAGCTCGAAGACCCGCTTAAGAAAAATCTATTTAAAAATGATAAGTTGACGAAGTCAAAACCATGGCTATCTCATATAGATGTTGGTGCGGCAAGGCATAAAGCTTTTATCTCAATTCATATAGAGTCGCGAGTAATTCCATTTCTACTTTTTAAAGGGTTTACGATGTCGATAGGAGAGGAGATTTTTGTAACGCCATCTATGAGCACTCTTTATTATTTTTTTATTTTTTCTTCTATTATTCAATCATATAAAATAAAATAAAAAATAGTCTCTTTCGTGTGCTACAAATATTTTTTGCATATCTTATAATGACTTTTTGACTAAAATTATGTTTATTTGAATAGATTTTTTTTATAATTTAATATAATAGAGATCTTATACCCATATTACGAAGATTGGATAATTTCATATTGTTGATATTTGAAATCAGATTAGGACAAAGAAGTGAATGGAAGCTACCCTTTAAGCTTAGGACTCAAACCTGGCTAAAACAAGAAACTAGGCAAGGGCTACGGTGGGCAAGCTGCCAATTTTGTCTAGAAAAGCAATAGGGATCCTCCCTTTTGAAAGAAACAAGCTTGAAATGAAGGTTAGTGATCATAACTTACTTTACTTGAGACTTCCAACTTTAAGTCAACTAAAGAAGGAAGGAGAGTGATTGGCATGAATTAAACACAACATTGAGAAGTCATAAAAGGACTATATTATTTGTGCTACAACTAATGATTAAAATGTATAAATTTTTAAATAAAAAATTTAGTCATCTAACTTAAATTTTTATTATCAGTATAGTTTTCTGATGATTAATATTCTTATACTCTGTTTAAAAATTAAAAATTTAAAAAATATAACTATTTATAATCGTATTATGGATTGACAGTAATTAATAAATTATTTTTTATTCAGTAGAGTTAAGAGTTTAAATCATTAGTATATCAACGGTAATAAGTAAGTTAATATTTATTATAACAAACCATAATATGTTGAGACAAAATAATTTTATAGCGCATAGGTTCATTGAAGAACAAAAAATCAACATAACTCTTTTAGATTCCAACCAAAAAAAAAAAAACTTTAACTTTTGGTATTGAGGTCTCTTGGGTTTGGCAGAGTTTGAAGAACAAAATCTAGCAAGAAAGCACTTGAGCTTCATTATCAGATTTTGTATGGAAACAAAAAAAAAATACCTTAGGAGAACCGGAAAGAAAGAGATCACAAAATTACAAACATGATAAAAAGGAACAGTCCCAACGCGTACAAGTATAAAGATCCTAGCTCTTATACAATCTGCAAAGCGACTAGCTTGCAAACACAAAAGCTTGAATATTGTTCATCCAATCCGACAACCATTTTAGAGACTAGAAGTTGTAATGTCATCAGCCGGCGCTGCAGTTGCAGACTTGGATCTTGCAGACATTCCCCTTTCACTTTTACTGGTGTCTGCAAATTTCAAGCTTGTATAGTGCAAGCCAATCTCTTTTTCTTTAGAATTCCATTCAGACAAGTAATAGTCTTCTTCTGTAAAATTTTTATTAGAGGGACCGCAAAACATCCCTCCCCATTGTGGGAAATACATTAAACAGATTGGGAGTGTGCAGATTATAATCATGATACCCATTAGGGTTATCCCTGTTTCCTTTGAATATTTCGACCCTTTGAAGAAAATTAGCTGAGTCAAAACTGCACCCACATTTCCACCTCCTCCTGTCATCCCAGATATTACGCCCAGTGACCTGAACATCAACATAATCATCTCTCTGTTTGGTTGATAGTGTTAAGTGATACAAAAAATTCAAGAAGAAAATCAACTAAGTGTAGAGAATTTACCTTCTGGAGATAAAAGGAACAACCCCAAATGTAAGCCCGCATGCAGCTTGAACGAACATAGAGAAGACGAGCATAACGGCGATGGATGCGCTTAGAGATCTGACCCGACCCAGAATCACGCAGAATACACCTCCTAATGTCTGCACCACCCATAAAGACCATAGTCTGCCCCTCATGCCAAACCTCTTAGACATCATATCGGAGAGAATTCCTCCGGCCGGCCGAGAAACCACGTTCGCTAATCCAAAACTTGCGGCAATGATGCCTGCTGTGTGGAGTTTCAGATTGAATCTGTCATAAAAGTACTCTGCAATTATGTTGTCAACTGCAAGTTCCACTCCGAAGCAATATCCATAAGTCAATGCCAAAATCCATCCTCTGTAATTCGTTATCCCGTGATACATTACCTTGGAGAATTTATCTTTCTGTTTATCCCCAGATTTCTGCAGCACTAGGTAGTTTCCATCCGGCAAATCTTGGCCAAACAGGAGAATGGCAAATGCTGATAATGTTTGAAACAAGGCAGGGACGAAGAATGCGATCCGCCAAGCTGTGAATTTTACAGAACCAATGTCACGAATGATGGCAAACACAACAGGCATGATGAGCTGCGTTGCACCACCACCGAGATTTCCCCACCCACCTGAAAGGCCATTAGCAGTACCAACGACTCGACCAGAGAACATTGAACTCATCCAGAACTGAGTTGATACAAAAGTGGCTAATGAGAATCCTGTGAAAAAGCGTACCAGGAGGAAAGACAGAGGTGATGAAGCTATAGAAGTGAAGTAAACAGCAGGTGCAGTGAGGAGGATGAGTGAAGCAGAAGCAAGACGAGGACCGAACAAGTCGCAGGTAGTGCCCATGGCTATACGGGCAAAAACTGCACCGGAGACTGATGCAATCCCAGCATTGCCAATGTCGGTTGCTGTGAGATTAAGGTTGTCACGGATGATGGGAAGGAGCGGTGGAGCTGCAAACGTGGAAACAAAGCAAGAAAAAAAGGATATCCATGATAGATGAAACGCTCGCATGTGAGGTGCTGCAGCTGAGAATACTCTGAACTCAGTTGCTTTGTTTTCTGAATCCACTGGAAGAGCAAATCTTGTTTGCTGCGATTCAACTCTGCTGCCTTCCATTTCCATCTCTATACACTCTTCCTCTTTTTGCAGGATGTGATTGAAGCTTTGCATTTATTTATAAAATGCTTAAAATTTTTCTTAGGTTTGGCAAATTTTTCTTTGTTTCTTTACCATGGAAAACTGATTGGCCGACTTTAGAAACTTGGGTTAAAATATTGAATTCAGAGGGTTTGAATTGGAGGATAGCCATGGCCTTTTGTTGGTGAAAAAGGCAAACGCGTGAAGCAAAAAACTCAGAGGTGACGCCGAGTCCCATAATTTACAATGGTTTCATGAGAAGAAAGGACAGAGAGGTTGGCGTAATTCAAAAGCTGTGAGAGGAACGGGATGGTTAGAAGGTAGAAACAAATTTGTACTAAGCATTGACTTTGAATTTGGAGACTAGGCGATAGATTCTCCTTTGAAGTTTCCTCGGCAGAGTGAGAAAGACAAGAATGTCCTCATATACTTCTTCCACTTCATAAATTGAAGACATGAAGGAAGGGTAATTTCGTAATTCGATTGGAGCAATAATTGATGTTTATTAAATGAAAATTGGCCAAAGAATATTCATCTGGGGTATAGGAATCATTTGGATGACTAAGAAGATTCATTTGATTATTATTATTTTTAGAATAAAAAAAGATATAACTTCAAAATAATTGGATTGGAGAAGGGTTTTAAGTCCGGGACAATTTGGTAATAAAGTGCAAGTGTGAGGGCAGTTCTAAAATTGAATTGCCCAAGTTTTTTTTTTTTTTTTTGGGTCATGTTAGTGTAAAGTTGAGGCACATTTAATAGCTACCTGACCTAAATTGCAGTGTTTAAATAGGGAGGCAGTTCCAACGTTTTTGTTTTTTTTTTCTTTCCAGAATTTATATAGGTTGGAATTTAATGTTTTCGTAGTAAATATTGTATTCAAATTTTAGTATTCTACTAAAAAATAAAATAAAATAAAAAGAAAATTATGTAAATTATACAAAAAATTCTCTATTTATTAAATAAATAATAAGAAGGTGACAAGAAAACGATCTCTTAAAGCATTTTTAGAAGATGGTATGAGAATTATTTTCTGAAAATGAGTGATGATGCAATGACGCACTGAATACGTCATTTTTTTTTTGGTATCCTAATTATGTTCGAGGCAATGTTTAAATATATTATAAAAATAAAACTGCGCAATGTTTAATAGGCCATGGTCCGTGAATAGTGAACCCATTTGACTTGCAATTTAATTGATGCAATTTTACAAAAAATAAAAATAAAAATAAAAATACTAGATAATGAATAGCACAAACTAAAACTTAACCAATTAAAAAATAGTGATTTTCTCACGAAAGCAGCCTCAACATTTACTTCGATGCTTCTTAGACCACCCTCCTAAGGTTATTGAGACAGAAGTTCATGCCAATATTCAGTGGGTGTTAAATTGTTTCTAGAAAAAAACTGTATTATTTACTTTCAATTTTTTTTTATTTATCGAATATGGTAATTCAATTTTAAATAAAATTCGATTAAATTTAAACATATACCTTAAAACACAAAACAGGACTATAAAAAAATACCAATAAACTTGAAATGCAATCATTAAGTTGTTCACATAGTTTACGCTCAATTTATTTATAACTAAACTCCTTCTAAATTTCATCTAAAACTAAATTAATCTTAATTGTTACATATTTGAAATTATTTTAAATGATTAATGAATAATAATTTAAAATTTTATGGTAACTATTACAAAGTAAATTTTTTTTTTTAGATCAAAACATATCCATTATCTGTACAAGAAATAAATTTCACTTTTACAGTTCACGCTGCATCTTTTATTTATCTTAAAAGTAAATATATATATATATATATACTAACCAATTGCCAATCAAATTATTCGGCAACTAACAAACTGTTTGTCTCCTCTAACACAAATTATATGGTTAAAGTTGGATCGATTAATAAGGATCCAGATAAGTTCAAAAAGATGAAAGCCAATCCTATATTTAACCATCTAATAATAATAATACGCATTAAACTTTTCCTAATTAACTCGCCACACAAGATAACAACGACTGAACTAATTAGTCCTAAAAATTCCTCAGATAGCGGATTGCCTCTATAAAATTTCTATCAAACTCCCCATTTTACAAGATTCAAAATCATCCATCCTCCTTGGAGATCAAACTTGACACGCACCGGTTGCCAAGATGAACCAAGCCAGATTTACGTCGTTGGCCTTTTTGGCAACCACTGCCATCTTCCTCCTCCTTGCAGGCAAACCGGTGCAAGCCGACTTGTGCTCTAAAACAACTTTTGTTAAACTTTGCAGACCACTTTTGAAAGGAATTAGGAGCCCAGCATACGCCACTGAGGTCGCCACCAAGTCGTTGATTAACGAGATAGGACGAGCCCGCAATGTCTTAGGCCGGAGCTTAACCCCCAAAACTGCCGATATGTGCAGAGAAAACTATGATAATGCCATCGACAGCCTTAAAAAAGCGCTGAAATCTCTTAAGGTCCGCGACCTTTACATCGTGAGTATCAACCTTAGTGCTACACTTACTAATATTGTCACATGCGATGATGCCATTAAAGCGGCAAGCAATCCTGTCAAGCGTATCAACCTCAGGTTGCGAGGTCTGGCTAGTAATTGCTTGGCATTGGCAGAGATGACGCCGAGTCACTGATTTCCATTTTGATCATGCGGTGGTCTTGATTTTTAAAAAAATATTTAATTTCTTTTTGTTTGTTTCTTACACCGACTCTTGTTGTGTTTAATATACTAGAAACTTGGGGACCATCTTCATGTTCATATATATTTATTATGGGTGTCTGTTGTGTATGCTCATGATGACCATGCAGCTAAACTAAATTCATACTTGGTTATCGTAACTATTTCTTTTAAGCTCTTACTTATGTTGTATATGTAAACCCATTGAATAGCTCTGTGTGTTTGTTTTAATTGATCCACATATTGTTTGAGAGGTAAGAATTAGGATGAAGAATTGCAGTTAATTAATATCTCTCGTAAATCAAAAGGGCATGAAGAACAATCTAAAAACTTTGTTACATCAAACCTCATCTTAAACAAAAACAACTCAGATACAACAAAACCGTCAGCAAGAAATTATTTATTCAAATTCAGACAATGCTAAAAACCACAAATCTACAAACATCATAAGATTTGTTCAAATTATCAAAATTTCCATTTACAACAATTTTACTTGTTCATATTTAATTAATTAAAACTTTTACTTTAGAAAACTCGGTCCTATAACACATATTAATGCCATTTGTTAGGTTTACATGTATGGACTACATGCATGTATATATATATATATATGTTTACTACTAACATGGCCCCCATGTTTTTTTCAAATTTTGTTTTCTTTCTTTTTTCTTAGATTCTTTCTCTCATTTGCAACTCTCCATCTCCCAATTCACTTGCCGACCACTTTTTTTATATGCAAGTCTTAGATTACTACTTCCATTCTTTTGTTTTCCAAAAAAAAAAAAAAGGAATCATACATATTCTTTCCTACTAATGTTATTTTCCTTATTTTTATTTTCTTGTTCATATTTCTGTATAGATAAAAACTACGCCTTGAAAAACTAAAATATTTGATCCCCTTTCTAAGTATTTCGCTATTATTATGGTCATTTTATTATCTGCTCTTTTTTGTTTGTGACGAGAATTTAAGGTGTATATAAAAATTTGTACGTTGAAGAAGTATAAATTTTCATTTGGGTGGATTTTTAATAAATTCTTATTTGATTTTGAGAACTGTATCAAAAATAATTTTACTTGATTTTAAACATCTTCTATGTATATCACTTTTTTGTGAAAAAAATTTTAAAAATGCTTAATAACTGGTTGATAAAATAACTACAAAATACTTATTAATTTGCTCGTTAAGGATGATTTATCTTACTATACAACACAACTATGATTTATTTCAATTCTTAAAAATGAACATATCATATTATTTGCTTGCCGTCCAAGAATGCTTTATATTAACAAAATTAGGTTACGAGTTCTTAATATGGGAAAAGACCTATTTTATGTTTGATTTCTTGTCTACCTTGATGCTAATAAATAGTTAGTAGGAAAGACAACAAAATGTTAGATTAAAGCCCTTAATCATAATCCATACTTATAATACAACACTTTAAGACCTTAGATTTGTTAAATTTGGCATATTAATTTGGGTGATTTTTCTTGGATCGCTTTCATTTTTTTTTTCTTTTTTTATTAATCATCATTTTTATTTTTTTCTTTTTCATTTTGGTTTTAGATAAAAAATTTACATTAAAATTTATAAGTGTATATTTAGAACAAGTGTTTTAAACTTTTTTTCATGGTTCAAATACTAAGATAACTTCAAAAAAAATTGAATTGAGTGTTTCAAATTTTTCTTATGCAAATACTTAAACAATACAAGGTATAATCTTAAAACTTTAATAAACAATACAGCAAATAAATTCAAGAGTAGACAAGGAAAAATAATGCAAACTTAAATTTGTGAAGGTTTTACCCCAACTTGTGCATGCATCTTTTTTCCTCAAGTCAATTGAGCTAGAGTTTCTACTATTTTCATAAACTCTAAAAAATATTTTTCCAGAACTTTTAACTACCAATGAAATATACACTCCTCTCTTAAAATAACTAATGAAATTACAAGTATTTATCTAATAAAAAATATATTTATAATCTAAAACTTACTTGGGACTCAATTAAAAAAAAAATAATATATATATATATATATATGAAGATTTTCGTTTGATGCTTTGAAAATTATTCCCTAAAAATTTCAAAAATTATGGATTGAGCAATATATAATAATTAAAAAAAAATTTGAAAGATTTTTTGAAAAAAAATTATTCTTAAAAACGTACTGTACAAATAAAAATACTATAAATGATTCAAAAAGGGCTTAAGAAAGAAACATGAAAATGTTTTACTTTAATTTCCAAATGATCCCACAAAAGTTATTTAAAAATAATGTAGATGGAATATATTTATAGTTCCAAAAGAAAACTAGTCTTCGAAGACAATAAAATTTGATTCATCATGTGATTCATTATGTGATCGACAAAAAAACACCACATGACCCATTAATTTAAAAACGTTTTACGTATGATTTATTATGTGATTTTTATTATCACATTATGTAACAAACTAACTATTTCAGTTATCTCTTTGTATGCTCAAGAATGTTATACGTACAATCACATTCTAAAATAAATTTATTATTTTAAAGTAATTTTTAGTGTGTTCAGAAATGTAATGCATTAGTTATTTGATACATTACTGTAGAAAAAAATTATTTGTTTAAAAACTTTCATTCACTTTGAGATTCCTTTCAATTCATTTCTTAAATAAATTTGTATTTAAACACATAAATAAAATAACTCAAACACATTTTTAATATTTAAGAGAATTAATTAAAAATTTCTAAAATTTTTGCTTTTTCTCCAATAATCTATTTTTGAAATAAATAGCTTCTTTAAATCAAGGATGCATTTTTCGAAGAAAAATATTTTTAAGTAAATTAACAAAAAAAAAACTTTAAATAATTATATCTTGAATCTTCAAAATTGAAACATCTAACTATATGAAAGATAAACAATAAAATGAAAATTTTCAATTTTAAATCTTCAATGGTTTTTTTTTATTGATTTATTAACAATATGATTAGTTAAAATCTCAGTACTCTACTTAAAAATCACTGACTTTAAAACTATTGAGAATATAGAACTTACTAAATATATATATATATATATATCTTAAACTTATAACGACCACCTTATAATATTTAATTAAATAGATTTAAAATTTAACTTGTTAGTATTTTAATAGAATTGATGATTATTAAGTTAAGTTTTTTTTTTTTTTCCCGAATGAGTTATTACAGATTTGGTAAAAGTAACATTTTATTGTGGTAACCTATTCTTAGTTATAATAAGTTAATATCCGATAATATTTCTTAATTTCTAAAAATATTTCTATCAAATTAAATTTTCGTTAATTATCAAAACCAATGAATATAGTTCAAACATTTTTCGCTTGAAATTATCTTTTAAATACAATTTCTCGTTAATTAATATCAAATTAAAGTTTCTTCCCAAATTAGGGATAGAGGGAGACTGATAGAACAAAGATGAACTGAAAATTTAATATGAGCAACAGAATAATTTGCTGATTTTTTTTTTTTTAATTGTGATATCTATAAATAAAAAGATTATGAACAGTGTCTTTTTTATACTAGATAATTTTACATTTCATCATCTCTGACCTCCTCCTATTCTACCTCTCAAACAAAAGTTAAGTATTGTCTCCAAAAAACATTTCTAAGATGTCAAATTCAAAATCCTGATATTTAACCACTTAAAATCATGCATGGGGTGTTCAAATACTCGTGAGGTTAATTTATATATACATATATATATAATATATATAGTAATAACCTTCAATTGTGCATTTATAATCACACATAGCCCGTATATGAATGAATCACATTCCAATGAATACAAATCTTGTAAAACTCCACATAAATTTTAACAGAAACAAACTTTATTTGTCTCCATTTAATTTGATTTATACTTATCAAATGGCTGTCAAATTTTCATCAATGAATCTTCAAAAAAATTACCTTATACATGCCACGTGAATATATATATATATATGTGTGTGTGTGTGTGTGTGTTACATTTTCTTTACCAGCAGGAGTAATTTCTAGAAACTGAATCTGAACCCAGAAAAAAGAGAGAGACAGAGAATTGCTCGCATGGTTGGATTATCGACCTCTCTCTGCCTTGTTCTAAGACAGCCTTAAATAATTTCCTTCGTTTTTGTAGCTTTTGTTTTGTGGTCTCCTTTTCTGAACAGAACTTTCAAACTTAGATATTTCGT